AGGTATGTGTGTGGTTACCTTTTAATAAAAGCCTAGCGGATCCACTCCTGCGATACCTGTCTTAAATATAACAAAGATCACGTTGAATTAGACGATTTTTCTTTTTATTGCTTTTAAAAGGCATATGATAACGCCAATTCAGATACATTTGGAAATCTGCAACTGTCAAATGATGAATTTGTAGAACTAATATTCAATATTGAAAAGATATTTTAAAATAATTTTGAAGAATTGGCTACAAAAAATAACATTTGTACCACACTTTTAGAATTAATTAACCCAATACCCTTTAGTCATCCATGCTAACGTTTTCCAAAAGAATAACTTATTTTATTGTATGTTTAATCTCAATAACTAAAAAATATACTGACAATTAGTTTGACAGAATTGTCATTTATTTAAAATTTTAAAAATAATAGCAGTCGGTTGATCAAAATATGAACGGTGATTGGCGAATTTATTTTTTTTTGCAGTGTTCTCACTACCTAGAATGGATATGAAATATATTCGTTCAATTGAAGGCAATAGCATACTTTTTCGTTTTGTAATCTGTGCATGGATATTAGCCAATCTACGCACATACTACAAAACGAAAAATTATGTTATTGCGTTCAACTACGAATATATTTCATATCCATTTTAGGTAGTGAGAACACTTTAACAAAATTAAATCTACAAATCACAGTTCATATTTTGGTCACCCAACTCCTATTATTTAAAAATTTTTAAATAAGTGATAATTCTGTTAAACTAATTGTCAATATATATTTTAGTTATTGATATTAAATATACATTAAAATTTTTGTATAGACTCGATAAATAATAGCATTTTTGTTTTTATTATGTCCACATTTAAAAAAAAATAAATTTTAATCAAACTACATGATACTAATTTAATTACGAGTATTAAAACTAAAGTCCTGAAAGTTTCGGTGAAGATGAGGACAGAACATCTGCCTTCCATGCGGAAAGCCCGGGATCGAATCTATGCCGAGGACTAATTAATTTTTCATGTTTATTTTATTTTATAAATTAGTCAACTTCGTAAATTATTTTAAAATTAGTTATTTTGTCTAAATAATCTAAAATAATTTTTTAAATTTGTAGATTTTCGTTAGTGGGTCGTAGAAAAAATATACTGATCATATCGAGTGGATTGTTCATATCACAATCAGACGATTAAGTACTCCGCCTACGACGTCGTGCTCAAACTTCGTCTTTGTGTGATATGGCTATCACATCCACCCTTGTTGAACAAACTACAATTTATTTGTTTTCTTGGTTTAAGTTTTACATCAGAAATAAGAACTAAATTAATTTACTTTTCAAGTTTTCTTGTAAAAATCGATATTACTTTCTCCAAGTACAAATTTAGTACCTACCTAAAATAAGTACTAATTATGTAATATCGTGTAATATTGTAATTCAAATTTCACATTACTATAAAGTTTCAAAATTCCCTACTTCGGTATGGTCAGATAAAAATTGAATATATTATATTAATAAAAACTGTTAAAGTATTACTTCTACAAATCTGTATTTCAATTAATAAGAATACATCTAAATATAACCAATATTGTTAAAATAAAAGCACAAATTCTTTATAATTCCAAAATACCATAGAGTTCCCAGACCTCAGTCGAAGCATTCGTTTATCTAGGTATAAACCCTTTGCGCGAAGAGTAACACTTGCCAGATACATGGGGTACCACTTGATTTGCATCCACGAGCGTGACACATTTCTTTAACAATTGAAGCCCTTGGTATAAAAAGGATCCAAGTCACAATTTGTCGTGAAGTGACTGTTTTAGCTCAAAACATTTGTTAACGAGGATTTTAACAGCCACATACAAATTATTTTACCTCTAATCCGAAAGATGTGCTATTTTTCGTAATATTTATATTTAAATAATTTTTTTAAATATATTTGACAGATTTAAAATAAATTAAAAATTTAATTTCCCAAAACTTACTTAACATGGCATGTAACCAACCTTATTACGTCAAGGTTTTCAATTTTTTCAATAATAAAAAAATTGCTTAATCCGGGCCCGACTTTTCCCTTTAATCTAACAGAGATAGCACCATTCCGTCTTGCTTGGTTCTCGACCGCCAGATCAAAGACGCTGACACGGAGTTGTGGAGCTGTATTGTAAAAGCTGTGACTAAAGTATGTTGAATGACGCCGTATCAACTGAAACCTTTATAAATTTAGACACTGCAGTAATCTAAAGTAATCTAAAGGGTTCACAACAATGTGTTTTTGGAGAATATATAAATAAAACTTTTTTCTTTGTAAAACCTGTTTCACGCCATACCAATAAAGATTAAAAATTTATTTAAGGAGGATAAAATTACTTATTTATATTGCTTTTTAAAGGTTCCGAATAAAGGTTTCTTATAAATGTAAAGTCAAAGTGTTTACGGTTCCAAATTGGTTGCAAATACAGTAACTATAAATGTGACTTTAAAATACTATTTGAGATTGCTTTATTAAACCTTTGTAAGTTTCTACAAATAAGATTTATTATATTTTACGGCACATTAATAAAGCATTTATAAGAGAACTAAAAAAACTTTTTTGATTTATATTTCGGTGGCCAATTTAAGCTCATAAGAGTTGTATAAAGCCTGTAAGAATATCGACAAGTAAAATTATAAATCTTATTCTTTTATAAACATTTACTTTAAGAATATTCTTACAGATTCTATAAACCCGGCATGTGGCAATATAAAATTTTTATTTTATGCCATAAATTTGTATTGTTAAAATTAATATTTTCATCTTATATACAACGTGGCTCATTAGTTTAAAGAAAATTAACGTAAAAAAATTGGAACGGGACAACTTAATGGTAAGAAATGATTCAAAATCAGCCTCATTGAAAGACAAGATGGTTTTTACTTTGGCGTTGCCCAACTTTTACCGTTCCCATCATCATTAATACCCCAATTTTTTCTTTCCTTTATCGGATCTACCACTGTTTTAACTTGGTGGTTTTACCTTACAACAACTTTTTAAGCATACATCACTACTCACTCTTTTCGTACTTGACATATTGGCCGACCCACTACCTGACTATCTGCAAGTGGGGATTATTATCCAACTTTGATTATATGAGTTTGAATAATTTATAACTTAAAGATTACTACTTTTGTCCACTTGCCTAACAACAACCTAAAGGTTGTCATGTATCTTTTACATTTAACGGTTCTTTTCATATTTTATCATTGTTTTATAATTGCTAAATTTCACTAATTTTTTTCAACTTTTGATTTTCTTGTATTTCCCACAATAAATTTTGTACATTCCTTTATGCCACGCTTGTGTTGACAAATTATATTTAATACTTTTTTTAAGGCATTTTTAAATAATCACGTTCAAGACGTCTCCTCACACAGTATTGTTCGCGCTTAATAACCTTTACTTAGGTATGTACCTATTTTTTATTCTATAAGTTGTATTTTTGTAACATAGATCTTCTTTTCTTTGTAGACCTGATGATGGTATAATGTCGAAACAGGTTGTCTTATAATCAAATTAAATTTATGTGGGACTGATTTTGACTCATTTCTTACCTTTAAGATAATCACATTTAAACAGTTACATAACATTCTTTAGTTGGTGCAAAAGTCTTAAAATCCGATTTTTTTGTGGATACGGCATCTGTTTTTAGGGCGGCAGTATAATTGTCACCGTCAATTTTAGGAATGAAGTATAGAGGAGAGAAGGACAATCTCATATGGTTTTTTATCTCAAAGAATGACTACCAAAGGCAGTAAATAAGGATTCAGAGACTGACCAGAATAACGTTCGTGTACTAGAAGAATAAGATCCAATAATATATAGTCTTATAGATTACTCATTCTTATGTTAATCAGGCGACGAAAAGTAGGTTTTCGTTTTAAGTAATAAATATATAGATACGTGTTATTTTAATAATTATTAGGGGAATAAAAAAATTATAAATATTTAAAACAGTAAAATTAAAAATTTCTGTAATTTATTGAACTTATTAATTATAAAAGTATTGAAAAAATTTAAAAATAATTAATTGTATAATTAAAAATTCCTACACGAATACACGAACTAATAAAAATTTTTTCACGTGCCTACTAGATTAAAGTCTTTACAAAATTATCTAAATAAATGCAGACTCTTGTTTAGAAGCAAATTTCCACAACATCCTTCATTGTAACTATGTAACAGGTTATTACTTTTTAACTAAAAATGAACGGTGGCGTAAAACATGGGGCGAAGAGTTGCTACTAACCCTGATAGCGCGTCACTGGTAAAATGTTTAAAAAGTTATTATATCAAAATATTAATTTTTTAAAGAGCATATTGATCACCAAATTTGAAAAATATTTAAACGCGTTATTGATTTATGGCAAATTTTGAATTTTGATTTCTAATTTTTAACACACTGTATCTCGATAACTAAGCCCTTTATGGGTTCACGTTTTCACTTTTCAGCACTTATTTGGTATTTTATGCGGAACTGCGCAAAACGCACAGGACAAACCGAAGTCGTTATCTCGGTAACTAAGCCCCTTAATGGTGCATGTTCATATATCAAAATTCATCAATTATTGAGAGCTCTCTGGGATTGATCGTTGTCATTTGAATATACTTACACCTTGTATACTATTTACATATACTTTTTACGTAAACTATTTGCATATACTAATTACATATACTATTTACCTAAATTATTTACATATACTAATTACATATACTATTTACATATACAAGTATTATTTATACATAATATTTACATATACTATTTTTATTTACCAATCAAACAAAGAATATGGTACACAACATCTCTATCAAATAAATTATTTACCAATGGTCAAATATTAGCAAGAAAATAAGAATTAGGTAATAGTTATTAATAATGCGAACGATTATTTTGGCACTCTCTGTATACAGAAAACAGCCGGCGTTTAAGAGCCGATCGTCGCTAGAGAGAGAATCGCCAAACTGATATATTTACCACGATTTTAAGGCGTTTTTGAATTCGGTGGAAATTCGGATAGCTTGTTTAAAAGTTAGACGACGGGTCTGAATTAGTAACTTTGTATTAAAAGAAAAATATATAGAAAGGCTTACCTTCATTTATATTCGGAAATACGAAAAGGAACAAACGGTTCAATAACTTCGTTTTACTATTTGGAGACCTTCGGGGTACAGGAACTAAAGACACTTACGGCGGTCAGGCATCAAGAGGGTGAATTTTGCTTCCTCACTTCTATTTATGCCCTTCCATCAGCAAAGCACAATGTCTGCTCAATTTTGGAGTGGGAGAACCCACCACCAGTTTAGGACTATTTACTATTGACGGAAAAAAAAATGTCCTTTGGGTACCTTGACAATCATTCAAGATAATTTACATGAAATTCAATCTTTTAATCCAAATATGAATAACGGTACATACCAGAATATTTTGAACTACGGGGGCTCTCTCAGATGTTCAAAACCGGCAATTATTAGGAAATCCAAAATACGGGCGATCTTTGAAACGTTCCTCGGCGGAAATTAATTAAAATATACATTTTTCTGATTAATCAAAATTAAAATTTAGTTACTTCGTCAAAACATATGGTGTTGTATTGACACGGTATTTAATTTTTACATAGGAATGGTTTCCCCCTTTCAACGTTTGAGTGAGAAACAATTAGAACATCATTTTCTTGAATCTTCCGATGAAGAGAATGAAAACGAAATATTTTTTAGTATAACTTCGTATAAGGATTTCATTTATGTTGAAATTCAACCCGATGCCGCAAGAAAAGCGAAGAGAAAACTGAAGAAAGATCTACAAAGGCTAAGAAGTAATCAATCGTAAACTGAGAAGGCGGACGGATACAAGTGAAGCTCAGATATACTCTAAAATCTTGGAACACGTGAAAGACGAAACTTAGTTACCTATTTTGTATATAATTTTACCAATTGAATATGTTTATTTAGATTACATTTAAAATTTTCAATTGGATTACGAAGTTTGTAGTATAGACTGTGTACTGGTTTCAAACACTCGAACATTTAAATAACCCGCCAATAACCATGGTGGTGTGGACTAGTCCATGTCGTTTCAGAGAGTGAGATTCGGGGTGTGCTTTAAGCTAAGTCGGGCTGGTCCAAATTGTGCGTAGTGCAGAGAATCGAGAGGGAAGTAAGTTACCGACAGACGATCAGGAACCAGCTGATTGATGGTGGCTGGTGGCTGTGAAACGCTCGCTATCAATCAGAAAATTCACGCTATTATAAGTTATATATCTGTTTACTAGTTGCTAACCACGATAATTGTTTTTTATGTAATAAAGAGTTCTTGTAAAATTGTTGGTGTTGTTGTTGTGTCCAGTTGAAAGAAGATCCTTTCTAGAACCCACAACAGATACGAATTACGAGAGCTAGGAGTCCCTGTGCAACTATCTTTTACCTTTAAGTCAATAAAATAATATTCGAGTCATCACTTTTTTAGTTTTAAATGTACATATGATTATTGACATCTAAAAGATACCTTCAAAAAATATTTTTGTTTTTTATGTTCATTTATTATGTATTAATAAGCTTGGGGTGACGTATACCCCAGTGTCAACCTGTCCTTTAATGTAAACTTTCAATAATTATGCATATTATTGATTTTAAAACCAAAAAGGTTTATTTTGATTTTTTTTTTCGCAACTGGTGACATGAAGAATTTTTCGAAACCAGTTTCATAATGGGTAATAATATGCACACGTGAAGCTTATAAGTGTTATATGTATATCATCTGTTGCTTTAGCTTTAGTTTTTATGTTAATAATTATTTTGCTTGTTTCATTTTCAGTAACTGGAGTAAATCTAAAAGTATTAGGGAAGTTTTGTTGATGATTGTTTTTATAAAAACGAACAAGATCTTAAGAAATAGTACTATCTTTTCCAACAGTATCAAGAAAGTAATTTTTATTATCTGCATTGTAGTCAGAATCAGAATTATATTTTTTATTTCTTATTAAGTGAAGGTGTTTTATAGTGCTCCATTTTTCTATTGTAGTTTTTGATTTTTTTTAAGCAGTGGTTAACAAAATATTTTTTTTCTGATTTTATTGCAATATTAGTATAATTTTTTATATCTCTGTAATAGATGCAATGAACTAATAGTTTTGTTTTTTTAAATTTATGAAACGCCTGTTCTTTTAAAGAGATCATAAATATAATATTATTTGTCATCCACAGAGATGGTTTTTTTTTGGGAATAATTTTGTTTTGTATGGGGCATGACAATCAAAGGTACAATTTATATAGTTATTAAGTAAATTTACCTTTTCATTAATATTACTGGAATTAATAATATTTTGCCAGTTATGTTTTTAAGATCATTTTCTAAATACAAGGGAATGATTTGAAATAAATGACTCGTCTAAAGTGCCACATTTAATTACATTTGGTGATTTGCTAACAATTATGTAGTCCAGTAAAGTTTGAGAGGTCAGAGAGATATGAGTTGGTTCCGAAATAATTTGTTCCAAATCAAACCCTAGTAACATTGTGACCCCTTTTACAGTTAAATGGTTATGATCTAGGTAATCTAAATTAAAATCACTCGTACATATGACAAGGCTATGGTACATGGCAGAAATAGTATCCTCAAATAAGTCTAAAAATGAGTCCATTTGTATTCTAGGGGTGGACGATAAACACATTCTAGAGCAATTTTTTTCTTATTTATTGTAATTCTTATTTATTCTTGTTCAAACCTGTCATTTGTAAAGTTGTAAGATTTTATTCTATTAACTGTGTATTTACTTTCAATAGAAAATGCCAAATCTGCGCCCGTAGTGTGTCTATCTTTTCGAATAATTTTATATCCTGGAACATATATCATGTCATCAGTAAATTGTATGTTCAACCAAGTCTCTGATGAACATATAATGTCAAAATTTTTGTTTTGTAAGATACCCCTAAAATAATTAATTTTTAATAATAGCGACCTAGTATTCAGATGAGCAATGTAGGTTTCACCCATGATAAAATATAAAAAATAAAAAAAAACAGAACTATTAATAAGTTTATATTTAATAAAGCAAAAAAAGTGACAATGTAAGCTAAACTAACGTTTTTGATTAAATCTTCTTCTACGTACTTTGTGGTTTTCTTCTGGTGGACTGTAGATAATGCTTTTCCTTTTCCCACCCAAGTAACAATAAAAGCTGATTTATTGAGCCTGTTCAGACAATAAGCTGATTAGTAGTTGGTTAAGGGTGTTACACGCTGATTAAGCTACTGACCTGAATAATGAGCTGAATAAGCATCGAATCAGTCAATATAGATGCCATTATACAGCAACATCGATAGAACTGAACTAAATACTGAATAAGTGCCTCTTCAGCCAACTTGGTAGATATTGTTCAGCAATATGCTTAAGTAGCTGAACATAGGTTGAATAAGCAGTTCCACAGCTTACTTAATCTGGTGTTGTTCAGCTATTGATTACTAGCTGAATACAGGATGAAGAAGCACTTTTTCTGCTCATGAAATATTTCATTGTTCAGCTATTTTAAAATGGTTGAACATGAGCTGGTAAAGCGCTTTTAACAGAAATCTGAACAGCTGTAGTTCAGCTATTCATAGTACAGCTTAGTATGCACTAAATAAACCCTTCTTTAGTAAAGTTCAAAACCATTATTCAGCTATTATTTTTGGCAGAATAAACAGTCTGAAGAAGTACTTGTTCAGCCCATTTTGATGATATTGTTCAGATATACTTGTAGTAGCTGAACAAAAAATTTGATATTCACTTTGTATGCAGCCGTATCATTCAGCGATTTTTAGGTTATGTTTTTTATTATGTCACTTGACTAAACTTTAACAAAGAAATGAATAGGTCAATAAAAAAATATAAAAAAGTGGAACCTACCATAGAAGATTAAACAAGAGCCGAGAGCATTGCGAAAGCATTCTGAGACAACTATATTCCAGTACAATAAACACAATATCGACGTTACCATCCTGTAGTAGTAATATCATCTCATCTTATTTACACATATATTGTGCGGACGCATTTAACTTACAAATGTTAACATTTTACAATCCAGATGATATATTTTGTAAATTAGTAACCATCCATTATAAAGATAATATTTTTGTTTTTATACCTTTACATCTGCAATAGCCAACTATTGACAACCACCAAAATACGGGTATGTGTAAAAAAAAACAAATATATTTATTATAATATAATAATTAAGAACTGTAAAAAACAACACAACATAAAAGTATTCAATGCATAAACAAATAAACTTTAAAAAAAAACATTAAGTAGATTTTTTATTTTATATACCTACTAAAATACTAAATCAAATAAATAAAAATAAATATTCTGTGTAATTCCTGCCAATAACTGGCTAAAGCAATTTAAAAAATATTTAGGAATCATCATCACTAGTATCATGATCTGAAAAATTTATTGATCCTTCTAGTGGCTCCTCAGTTACAACTTTTGTTTCTTCTTTTCGTTTTTTAACCTGTCTAATATGGGTTGATGATTGTCGTAAACCGGACATTTGTGCACGTTTTTTTTTAATTTTTAGTAATTGTTTTAAAAAAATTCTTTTCATATTTCTGTCTTACTATTCTTAAAAATACTCTTAAAATATTTTTGCACATTTTAATTGCACTTTTTTGCTCATCATGTCTACTCACACCACTCCAACTGCACTCGACTATAAATTTCCTGGTGAAGAAATAGTCCAACAACACATAACATGTGTTCATACCACGGGTATCCACAGAGTTTCCAATAATTTTATTCATATATTGAACCTATTGACAAACAAAACCATTAACATTTTGTGACCTGCAAAATGTAAATATCTGATTTTAACTTAAAATGAGTAGGTACTCTTTTTTTATGCAGCATATCAGAAGAACGATTTGCACATATTACAATACCAGATTAAATATTTAAAAAAAATCTGTTCATACTTTTGGCTGCATAAAAAAAGACTTACCACTTGTTCTTCAAATTCCGGAGTTTGGAGGTTTTCTTCTAAATTTTCTAATTCTGCTTTTCTGTTTTCAGTTATAGAAGCAAGTTTTATATGAAAGTTAGTTTTTATAGCTGCTATGGTTTTAGCCATTAACTCTCCCACCGAGTTGAGAATTTGACTTGTGGCAGAGTCAATTTTTTAAATGATTTCTTGTTTAAATTCCTCCAAATTAGTGCCCTGTAATATTAAAATTATAAAGTATTGATTGTGATAAAGTACTTAGGTAAAAAATGTACAATAGACTATACTCACAGACACATCAGGTTCTGGCAAATTTATAAAGCTTGCATTCATGATATCATTTGCATTAATAATGTTGCTTGATCCTGCTTGTGGCAGTTCATCAGGTTCTGGCGAATTTATGAAGATATCAGTTGCTCTAATAAAGTTACTTGGTCCTGCTTGTAGCCGTTCATCATCAGGTTCAATCAAGTTTAATTGAAGGTTCGGTACTTCTAATACATGACATAAATCTGTTTCTGTAGCAGTGGAACTTGGCGTAGCTGTGACTTTTTTTAATGGAGGCTCTTCATCACGTCTATTACATTCTTTTAATATTGAATTAAAATTTGTTCTCCTGTTAGTAAGTTTTTTATTTTTTTTTCTTAAAGTCATGAATGCGGACGTGTCTGTATCATGCCCTGATAGATTTTCTGCTTCAATCTCACCTTCCTCGTAAGTTTTTAAATGCATGTGTTTAATCTTACACGGTAATTTGGTCCACGAATTTTGTGGCTTGCATGTTTCATCCCTTACAAGCGCACTGGCATTAATACTGTTCGGCCACATTAAAATTCCATTTTTAACCCACAACTGGGGTACAGTCGTCATTAATTTCTGACCTGCCTCTATTGTTTCTACTAAGCAGAATCCTGAAATTATGAGAGTTAAAACTAGAAAAATGTAATTGAATAAATAGATTTTATTAATTAAAATACTAAATAATATCCTTTCTTACCCAGATTGTTTGATTGCATTTTTATATGCACACCATATAAACAAATCCAAACTGAAAAATTGTAGAGGTTAAGTTTTATTACCGTCCTTTTCTGCCTGTGCGTGGCCCGCGTACATCGATATATCAGGTTAATGCAGCTATTCAGCCACTATTCAACATGGCTTAAATACCATTATTCGCAAACACCAATCATGTGTTCGACTGGCGCAGCGGTTAGAGACCACTCAATTGTAAAATGTTCGTCCAACGGGTCCCAGGTTCAATCCCCAGCCGAAGCAAGGAAGAAAATAAAGGTAAGTAAAAATATATTTGTAAATTTAATTTAAATAGCATGTAGTGACTGTTGTAATTGAGATATATAAATAATATAAAATTCAGAAATTAAAAAAAATTATAATGCATATTAATTTATTTTTGCTTTGAAGGTAAACTGAACAAGAGCTGAAAAATTGAGCTGCATAGAAGCTTTTTCAGCAATTTAAATACACTTACGGCTGATGCGGCTGAAAAAAAATTGAAACGTCTTAGCGATGGCTGCATAAAGGCTGAACTACAAGACTGAATAAGATCTGAAGAAGCTATTCTTCAGTCATGACTGGGAGCTCCGATGATGATCAATAGCTGAATAAATTCTCCACTTTTGGGTGAATAAGAGCTTAACAAGGGTTTATTCAACATAAGTTTGATACCAATATTCAGCTTTAGACTGAACAATAAACCGCTTAAGCGCTTATTCAATCAATAATTAGCATACATTGTTACTTGGGCATTTTCTTTGGATTTGGGTTTTTCTTTTACCAACTATAAACTAACATTTTTTGTAATCGCAGCAAGTGTCAAAATGATCAACTTTACTTAACTTTACGTATACTACCATATTTAAGCAATATCATAAACTACCGCTTAACCCTTTCCCAGATCAGTGGAAAGTAGGTAAGGTAATTCCAATCTCAAAATTACAAAACCCCACTAATTTAAAAGAAATACGACCAATCACCGTTCTTCCAACATTTTCTAAAATAATTGAAAGGCTCATGGAAACTCAACTTCATACCTACGTAGATACTTAAAATATCCTCCCTGAGGTGCAATCGGGTTTTAGGCCGAGATATAGTTGTGGTAGGTAAATATCACTGATGAAATTTTTAGGGAACTAGATAAGGGAAATGTCGGAGCAATGATCTTGTTGGACTACAGCAAGGCCTTTGACACAATTAGAGCTCTTTCACACGAGGATACTGTATGCGAGATACGCGTATCCGAGATACAGAATCGCAGTCGAAAAGTTGGGCTGCTGTATCGAATTCACGCATCTCTTCAATCAGTACTAAAATAGTAGCATTGCCGTGCATATATTTTTGAATTATGGATCTAGAAGAGTGTATTATACTGAAGTATATAATACAGTGAAATACATAAAATGAGCATCGTATGAGATTTTTTTCTAAATGCTGTAGATGAATTTTGACTTTGCCATCTTTTGTTGCTTTAAAAATGATAACGAATGACATGCAAATTGACAATCACGTGATCTTTTTAAATGTCCAAATTAACATTTTTTTTTTCTAAAAATTAATAGTTAACCTGACATAATTTTTAAAATGTTACTTTGTACTAAAATGTTTTAAATAATGTTTTCGCATACAGTTTAATCGATTAAACTAGATGCACGTAGGATACCCTTGAAACATATCCTGCGCCTATGACATAATCTCCGTTCCAAAAGTATCTATGTCTGAAAAGGTCCATATATCGTAATAGTAATTCGGTATGCGGCATACGCATTCAGCCACCGCGGCTGGAGGTGCCGGGATGCAAAAATTCCGTATCGCGGTACTGTATGCGTCGCCCGTACCGTGTGAAAAGGTCCATTTGAATGTATGGTCAGCCTGAATCTCGGATACGCGTATCTCGCATACAGTATCTTCGTGTGAAAGCGTTCTTAGTCACACTGTGCTTTTTCGCCAATTAAAATTTATAGGTGTATATAATTTAGGAATAGAACTGTTTAAAAATTATTTCAATCGCAGACGTCAGGTAATTACATATAGATGACACACCCCAAATGAAGGTAAACCTAAAAGAGGGGTAGCTCAAGGTTCAATTCTAGGGTCCATTTTATTTACCATTTACACTAGCAATTTTTTTACTTGTTTAAATTTTTCAAAAATGCACATGTATGCAGATGATGCACAATTGTACCGTTTCGTTAATAAAACAAATTTGTTAATGTTGCAAAATGAAATTAACAGTAATTTGGAGATTCTTATTGACCAGTCTAGTAAACACGAGTTGCATTTAAATTCAAACAAGTCATATGGTATATTATTTGGTTTAACAAAGGATAATATTAAAAATGAACTAAAAAATGATATTCTGAAACATACTGAGAAATCAAAAAAATTGGGGGTTATTATTGAACAAAATCTTAGATTTTCTCATCACATATTTAAAAGAAAAGATATTCCAATCTAAAGATTTTGTATGCCAATCGGATATATCTATCACAACAAACTAAGTTATTACTTATATAGTTATTGGTACTTTCGCATGCCAACTATTGCGATTATGTCTATGGACCATGTTTACGAATCGTTGATCAGAACAAACTCCAAAAATTACAAAACTCCTACCTCAGACTAATCTACGGTATCAGGAAGCACGATCAAATTAGTTATAAGCTTATAACAGCAAACTGGTTAAATATGGCCAATAGACGTAGATTACATTCATTTACGTTTTTTTACAAAATTATATCTGACAAAAATCACCTTACTTGACAAGAAAAATTACTTATAGAGAAGATATTCACAACATTAACATACGTTACGAACATACAATAACAATACCGAAACACAAAACAGCTTTATTTACAAGTTCTTTTTCATACACTATTGCCGCTTTGTATAATGAACTGTCACTTGATATAAGAAAAGAAGCCTAAATTCACTTAAAAAACTATTTTTCATTAGCAATGTAGATAGTAGCTTCAGATCCCTTAAATTTATTATTTGAAAGCTTTTCTATATCTTGTTTAATAAATACGATTATTGTAATTATTATTATTATTAAAATCAATCTACGAAAAGAGGTTATGTTGCCATAAGCAGATGTAGATGTAGATATTAGCATAAAATAATTCTTTTAAAACTTTTTTATGATCTGTCTTATATTCTTTTTATATCATTTTTTTATTAATATTAATATTGTTATTATTATTAAATATTATTATAAAAACAATCTAGGAAAAGGAGTTATGTTGTCGTAAGATAAGATGTTATTTTATTAGCATTTTTTTTATGTATATACAGGGAATTATAATATAAACTTACAAATTTAAGTTTTACTTTACGATAGGTCCTTATGGAAGAACATCTTTGCTGAATAGGCGCCTTTTAACTAACCTATTCATTAAATTTAATTCTTTTTCTTTTTAACAACTATTGTAAGCTTTGCCGTTTGTTGGTTAATAAAGATTATTATTAACCATGAGTACGCTTGTTGAGTGATTTAGTAATTTTTAGGACTAAACATCAGATTCACCTTTAGGGACCGCGGGTTCAGTTGTGCCATCTTGGGTTCTCTGAAAGAATGTTCTGCAGAGCCCGGGCTGGCACATCAGAATCACGCGAGTGACATTTTTGTTTTGTCTTGACATCAAAATAATAATATCATTTATATTAAACATTTATTTAAATTTAACTAACAATAAATTAAATCTTTAAATTCAATAACAAATTTTGATCTCCGTTAACCTCCAATCACTCGAATCACACTCGGAGAAACATGTTCCACACTGAGGTGAACGCACCTCCTTCTGTTGACATTTGACAAGTCAAAGTCTTCAAGTGTCGCTTGTCACCACTGTCATGTGGAAACGGTTAAACAACTTGAACCAAAATGAAGAGATACATTTAAATTTGAAAATATTAATATTAATAAAATTATGATTTAGCAAGTTGTAAATATCCCGAAATATATAATTTTGGGAGTGAGGATGACCAGGAACTTGTTGGATACGTTGTGGACAGTAGGTAGACTTTTTCATAATTATAATGTATATAAAACATATAAATAAAAAAAACCTTCAGTTTTTTTTTACTTTGGCCTTCTGCGTTTTACTTTCTTCATA